TGTTTTTTTTGAAGAGCTAACTAACCCTGGCTGTCTCCAGTCTGACAGTATTCAAATGGACTTGCTTCCTCCATTAGTTGTAAGATGTTTAAAAGCACATCCTATGTTTGAATTGTGGATGAGAGGTTCCCTTGGCAATGTGAGGAGGAAAATTCTTTCTACCCCTTTATTATTAATTCACGGATTCAGTGTTGGTTCGGCCTACAGGAGAAGTTAACTGGAAGTCTTTGAAGATCAATATATTTGCTGAAGTTGTCCAGGTATGTGAACTTGAAGATCCACAGTGATTGGAAAATAATGTTTAATATGTCAGTGTATTTTATAGAAATTAGTAGTACCCACAGTTAATCATTGACTGATAACTCAAATGTATGACCAATTTTTTAAGAAGTGACTCTCTTGTGGGGCTTGCAGCCACACGCAGTAGTTTTTTCTGTATAACTGTTACTAAGGACACAGAAGAGAACGCTTGCTGACAAAACCCATGCAGTTTTACAGAAGTCTGACTTAGTATTGGGATAGTTTTTGTGACCAGCTGATTTCAAGACATTGCCCCCCTCAGGATACTAATTTGATTAACAGAAAGCGGCTGTAAAAATGTTTATTGCTTAATAATTTTTCACTTACACCTTTCTTTAGGGTTACTTTTAAAAAGAAGATTTCACTGATCAAGCCAGTAGAAGACTTTCAGTCCAAGAAAGAGTGAAGCCAGCTCTTGCCAAGAGTGGAGGAAGTCACTGTTGAGTCAACCCTTAGAACCTGAGCTTGTCCTAAGAATTTGTCCATTATGTCTAACCAAGGAGATGACTGCTACTTCTATTTCTATTCCACATGTAACAAGGTATGTTTGGGTTACTTTTGCTTTGGGGTTTGGGTTTTTTTTTTTTTCTTTTTCATTTTTAAGAGAGGAGAAGGAAGAGTAGGAGGAGACATACAGATTTCTGGTAACTTAATAAGCAGTTAGATTTCTGCTTCCAGTTCTAATAGTATGGACATTTTTTTTAAGCTGTACTATTTTATTTTCCTTTTTGTTGATTTCCTTTTGGTTACAGGGAGACAGCTGTTCCTTCCGCCACTGTGAAGCTGCTCTAGGGAATGAAACAGTCTGCACGCTCTGGCAGGAGGGTCGCTGCTTCAGGAATATCTGCAGATTCAGACACATGGAAATCGATGTGAGTGTTTGCCTAAAGATGTGTTCTCAAACTAAATCACTGAAAGCATTTTTCATTGCTGTAGGTGGACTGAATGTGCTTTTACATGATAGATTTACTTGCTATAAAATGATACTGGTTTCTATTACTGGGAGGGGGGTAGGAGGAAGTTGGGGGAGGAAAAAAATCAATGTCTTGGGTATATCTCAGCAAGAAATTTTTGTATTAGGTGCTGACATTATTTTCTTAAGAGGCAAAAGCAACTACATTGATCAGACTGCTTAAATGTGCTGGAGCGGGGTGGTAGTAGACAGCCTGCACTGGCCTCCTGAGAGCTAGGCTTGATAATGCCCTATTGGGTCTCTTCTGTTCTGGATTTCTTCAGATAATGTTGTTCTAACCTCTTGGGATAGCACAGGGTGGGGAGAGAAAAGATGGGAGGAACTAAGGCTCTGAAAGCTACATTCAGATAAATTTAACCTAGGCAATTTAAAACGTTTTTCCCTCTGAATAATCCCAAGTTGTATTAGTTTAACCCGCCCTGAACTGATGTGTGAGTGTGCCTGTCTTCTCAAACTGAATGATAGGAAAGCTAGATAATATGTACTTGTTACAGCTTACGCAAACTTTGTGTATATGCCCTGAAATACTTTTAGTGATAAATTGACCTTTGGAATGATGTTTCAGCACTTCACTGCAATAGTCCTATCTCTGGCACGATGTGAAACTATGTCTCTTTGCAAATCCAAGGCAAGTGTTACCATGAGCTTTTATTTCTTTCTGTCTTCAGAAAAAACGCAGTGAGATTCCTTGCTACTGGGAGAATCAGCCAGTAGGCTGTCAAAAATCCAACTGTGCTTTTCATCACACAAAAGGACGCTATGTCGATGGACTTTTCTTACCACCAAGCAAAAGTGAGTTTCTTAGGTCCTTTTTCTTTAGGTATTAAATAATTTTGAATATTGCTTATGAGTGGGTACAATACCGTAGAAGACATCAAGTAACTGTCCATTTATGAGTGCAGGGAGAAGTCTGCAGTCACAGGCTCTCAGCTAAACGGAATGTAATTCTGGTATTTAGTTTTTTCTTTCATGCTCAGCTTCTCTGTGCTTTGTGTGATTGTGGCCTTTCAGGTTGCTTTCCCCTCATTTAATCCTTTCTAGCTGGTAGGACAGTGAGATTTGTGTGTGAAGGGAAGCCGTTGTTCATAGTGTAACCAGGGGTGGGGAACAGGAGACTCTAAACTCAGTAGCCAGGTGGGTTATCTACCTTATCTACCGTATCTACGCAGTGAGTGCAACATTGGGGTCGAAGTTTTAAATGGCCAAATTACAGATGATCCTCCTCTTCCTCTAGCTACACTTCCAAGTCCACCTGAGTCTGCAGAAGACGATGTGAAAATGGCTCAGATGTCACTGCAGCAAAACAAACTTTCTGTCCAGTCAAATCCCTCTCCGCAGCTGAGGGGGGTGATGAAAGTGGAAAACTCTGAAAACGTCCCAAGTCCTACTCATCCTCCAGTTGTAATCAATGCTGCAGATGATGATGAAGACGATGATGGTGAGCATTTTTTACTTCTTGAAGGCATTTCTACTGTAAGTGACAGTATAAATCACAGAATACCTGAATTGTGTAGCAGTTAAAGCTGCAGTCGAGAGTCTGGAGTCCTAAACAATTTTTTTCCCCAGTATAGCTCTTTTACTTATGAATTCATCAAGTCAATATAGCTGTTTAAAAAAATCCTCCTGTAAACATTTGTTTGTGTTTGTAGTTAAGAATACAAACACAATATGAAACACGGACTAAAATGTCATTGTGTGAGCTACATAAACATGAAAAACGTTGTCTGATCCTTATTGCATAACTGAATAGGTTTGGTTTTGCCTTTCAGACCAGCTTTCTGAAGAAGGAGATGAAACTAAAACACCTGTCCAGCAACCAACTACAGAAGCCCATAATGGATTGCGGATAATTTCCACTAGGAAATCCAACGCTAATACAAAACAAGGTATTCTAACAGCTGTAGTAGGATGGATTGGGAGGAGAATTTGACAATTAACTCAAAGGCGATATGTTCTAAAAATACAGTAGAACATAGGGTAGCCTGGACGGAGTCAGCTATTTCCATGAGCTCATTCCTACCTAATACTGTCATGTGTCCCTTGGGTCAGATAGGTAAACTCCTCCTTATTTACTTTTGTAGAACAAAATAGAGCCACAGAGTGGAGTTTAAATGCCTGCAAATGTGTCCTTTCAAACATTGTGGAAAGCTATGTCTAATGATAGAGGAATCTGATATCGTGTAGATGGATTAAAATGCTTAAAACTGTAGGTTTTACCCTGAAGGGTGGGAGGAGCGGTGAAGAAAGGTGCCAATTGCTTACCAAAATGCCATCCGTTTTATGGCTTTTTTTTTTTTTTTTACTTGTGGGGAGCGTTGACAGGGTTTATTTGAAATACTTTGGAAAGGTTCTGAGCTGTAAGAAGCTTGAGGATCTGTGCTCTTCAACATATGCCTTTAAACCTCAGTTTCATTAACTGTTTTGTGTTTTCAGATGACAATTTAAATTTCGGAATAAAAACACTTGAAGAAATCAAATTGAAGAAACTAAAGGAAAAAACAAAAAAACAAGGTGATGAGTTAATATCCCCTACTTTCCTATCCTTCTGCCTTCTGTTCACCTCCATCTTTTTATTTTTTTTCTCTTTTTTTTCCTCTTCCTTCTGATAGTGCCTGGATAGCTGGCTATGCATCGGTGAACACAATTATTTGCAAAAGAAAGGAAATTTTTTTGCACTACTGGGTTCAGAGTGGGAGATGATTGCAGCTGAGAGCTGCTTGAGGGGCAGACTTCCATGTTTAGCTGGGGGCCTTGAGCTACTTTGGCATGCAACCTGTTTTCTTAAACTCAAACAGCTGGTATTCTAGATTGAAATTCCAAGGGCAAATCAGAGGGAAACTGCTCATCTCTCTTATTTACATGCACTGGTCATTGTATGTTTGCCAGTAATGAATGACTAATGTTTTTGGACTTTGTGATAGTTCTTCTGTTTTGTTTTCCTAAATATCCTTATGTTTTGCTTGCTCTAATCAGAAGGTCCTTCAGGAGTTTCTGTTCATCCGCTCCAATCGCGGACTATTCCTGTGCCAGAAAAGGAAAATGTACGGACAGTAGTGAGAACTGTGACTCTGTCTACAAAGCAAGGTAATAGTGGATACTATTGTTCCCATTTCACGGCTCCTAAACCAAAAGGTTAAATAATAATTAAGATAATTCAGACATGTTAGTCTGCTGGTGCTGCCTTTTCTAATTAAAACCATGCTTTTATGCTGAAAGCCCCTGTTGTACTGGAAAGATACGGCATTTGTAGGTGCTCAGTTTGTTGTATTGCAATAAAAGATCAAGAAGTGTTTTTTATCAGCCTGACATTAAGCCATAGCTAATCATATATTATCACTGTCCTACAGACTCTCAAATGTGCTTAATTTGACTTTCGTGTTCCTGAAGTTGAGTGAGATTTGTGAATGAGCTAATGTGTTGACAGCGTGTGACAGAATTAGTGTTTGGGTTAAGTGCAGCAGAGAGAGAGGCTAATGTCAAAACAAGTGTCGGTATGCAAATAAGGGGATAACTGAAAGACGGGAGTAATGAGAGGGAAGACCTATAGAAGATGGTATTATACAAGTAGCCGGTTTTCAAAGCATCGAAGAGCCTGACAGTGACAGTTGCGGACAGTAGTGTGATACGAGTCTCTATAAATGGTGGTGTTTAGATCTGCACAAATTCCTCCTAAAGGCAAAAAATGTGTAGAACTACTTCTTGTAGTCGTTCGTTTATGTGGTTTGGCTACCAAAAGAGTGTCTTGTTTTGGGACATGGGCTCGAAGGACAATGCTTTTACTGGCTACTGGTTTCTGTGCACTAAAGAGTTTGTTCCTTGTTTTAGGGGAGGAGCCTGTGATTCGACTGAATCTTGCCGAGAGACTGGGAAAACGGAAGACCTCCATAGGTAAGAGCTTTTTGTGAGCTGTTGTTTGGGTGCCCTCATCTAAGCATGACTGTATTTAAGGGTATTTTTGCTGTATGCTGGAGGAAAATACATTTTGGCGGAGGTCTGCGGTGACTGCAGAAATAGCAAATTTTGTTAGCAACTGAAAGGCAAATATAAGAAAATATACCTGAAAGAATTGAAGTTTGTGGCTGACTGTTCTAAAATCCTCCTCCAGAGAAATGTTCTTAAAGTATTTCTTGTTTTCTCTCTTTCTGAAGCTGGTAAAAGTGTCCTTCCACTAAAGCGCAACCTTGCTGAAAGGCTGGGGAAGAAAATAGAGAGTCTGGAGAATGCTGACAAAGCACCAAAGAGAGGTACAGCTGCTAAACAGACGTCTGGATTTGATGCACAGATTTTCTATTTAGGTTTTCTGTTTGTCCTTTCTTCTAATGATTCTTTTTGCATGTTGGTTGAGGGCTCAAGGTAACTTTGAATCCCAGTGATCTCCTGTCTCATTTCGAAATGTGAACACAAAATTGAGATTTATGCAGTCTCCCTAACTTTTTCTGTTCTGTCTTGTAGTTCAAGTCACCAAGTCTCTGAAGGAGAGGCTAGGATTGCCCTCTGAACAGACCAGTACAGAGACAGGTAATAACTGGATATTAAATATGCCTTCCCTTTTTTTTTTTCCCATGAACTTCCATACAGCCCTAAAAGTTAATTTAAAAAAACTGCCTGATTCCTCTTGCTCGAGTGCTGAAGTTGTCCTGATAGCCGCTGTCAGAAATCTGGCTCTAGATGTGTGTGTGTTTTCCACTTGTGCCTCATCAAGGTTTCATGCTCCTGCTGTGAACCGTCAGAAGCTGCAGTATGCTTACGCACAAGTAGAATAGAACCACTGCCAGGAGCAGGAGTTTGAGATGCTAAAGGAGAGACACAGTCTGAGAAAGTAACAAAATAAAGTAGACTAATGTTTTTTGTGTTGCAACTCTCTGGATAGCACTGGTTTTCAAAATACCAGCGGCTTAAAGGAGGAGGAGAATACTATGTAGAATGATACTGTCCTAAGATGCATTCTTGGGAACACTCAAACCTAGTTTTCCTTGGTACTGTGACAAATTTTGGAGACTTTAAATATTGTTGGACTCTCTTTAAATGCTGGTGATTCTCTTTTTTTGATGATGACAGAGAAGGCTGCTAAGCCAACAGGAGAGATCCATGTGAAAACACTGGAGGAAATTCGTCTTGAGAGAGCTAATCAGAAACGAGGAGAGCCTCAAGCAAAAGCCCAAACTGAAGGACGTTGTAAAACAGAAGATCCCAGCTCGGGGGCAAGACCTTCCCCTGCAGTTCGCATCAAAACTTTCTCAGGAACCCTGGCTGAAAAAAAACAGAAGCGATTGGAAGAAGAGAAGCAAAAAACAGAAGAGTTTCCTACCAAGACAAAAGTTGAGAATGAGCCGAAGAAGCAGAGCGTACTTGCTCCATCTGTGCCCAGCAAAGTGCAGGTGGCAGAGCCGGCAGGTAAAGCCAAGCCAGCAGGAGAAGTGCGTATTAAAACCTTGGAAGAAATCAAGCAGGAGAAAGCTCTGCGGATGCAGCAGAGTGGAGAAAATGTGCCAGCTCCACCAGCACAACCTGAACCTGCCCCGACAGGGAGGAGATTGTTACGGATTACAAAGCTAACAGGTAATAAGACGATTTGGTACCTGCCCTGGCGAAGTGCTTCCCCTATCAAGCAAATTCAGTTTGCTCAGGATTCGCTTTGCTTTTTCCTTCTATGTATACTAGAGGATAAAAGAGTTTAAGGCTACAAAGTCAAAAGGCAAGAGAGTGCCAGCATATGCAACCATGTTATTTTCCGTGAATTACGTGATAGTTTTCTGTATTTCCCACTGGAAAATTCATTCATTGAGGAGCTCTGTAGTCTAATTTCTCTTCTGTTTTTTCTGCCGTCTGTTTGTGGTGTGGGATCTTCCCTGCGCTGAATCCAAGTTTACCTTCCGCTTTGGCATATGTGTTGTTTAACTTAGTTATTGATGTATACGTGTTTGCGAAGCATGTATCGGCTTCTTCATGTGAGGGCCAGTTTTTGTCAAAAATGACAGAGTGTTAAAGATCTCATCGTTAAGATTATATAAGCCATGTAAAAAGAGAGAGCGTGATTGAGGGAAAGAGAGCTCGAATGCTGCATGGATTGCTTACTGTAGCCTTTCCCTCTGTCCCATTATTAGACATGAGGAAATAAACACACCAAGGAAACGGAGGTAACCAGGTTTCTTTATTTCTGCTGTTAACAAAATGATTTTTTTTTTTGCTTGTTTTAAAGTACCTGGAAGAGAAGAAAAGAAGGTAGTGGAATTGAACAAGCCTTCTCCCAAAGCTGTCTCTGCACCTGCAGAGGTGAGTCCTTTGTGAAGACATACATGTATTCGTACAATTTTTGATAAATTCTGTTATGTTTTGTTTGTAACTCGCTGCATGCTCCCAGTTTGAGTGCGTTCCTACCTTCCCGCATTTGGTAAGCGCTGCAGTGAAGTCATAAGCCCTGTCACTTTCAATAGCATTTCCAGACAACATTGTAATCCTCAAGCTTTGAATTAATCTGATTATACCTGACAATGAATGAGAAACCCTATTAGCACCAGATAAAATCTGTGAGGTTAATGTGGAGGGAATGTTTTTGTTCTCAGTGACTTTATCTGTCAGACTTGAAGGATATCTTAAAATCCTGAGGTAAGTATTTTAATAGAAAAGGCTAGAGCTTTGTATTAGAGGAAATCAGTCTGTCAGTGAATGCTGTATTGGGGAGCTTGTGTGACTTTCTGTTGCTTAAAAAGAATGTAATAGATTACAGCTAGAGTCTTCTGCTCTATTAAAGAAGCTTGCTGTGTTGGGAATTGCAGGCTTTTGAAACAGTATTTCCATAGCAAAGCATGGATCTTGTTACAGGCAACATTTTGTGGAAAAAAATGTTAGATCTGGATGGTATTAACATGCTCTGTTCCACATGGAGCCATTTCAGAGGGGTTGCCACTCATATTTTCTTAATCTCCGTAGATTTAAACCTCCATAGATTTTTGTCCTATTAGTCCTCCTCTTTTGTTTCTTTCTAGCCCTCCGATCAGAGTGGAACTAATTCTAAAGTTCAAGTGAAGAGCCTTGAAGAGATAATGAGGGAGAAGCGGCAACTGAAACAACGCCAAGAAGAGAAGCTTCAGAAGGAAGCAGCTACTGTGCCACCTCCTGTTGAAAAAGCAGTCAAGGATAAAACTCCAGCATCAGGGAGTCCTGAACCCACCGTGGTTTCGGGATCAGCTTATCAACTTGCGAAGAGGATGTTGGTGAAATCTCCGGAAGATGGGGTTGAAAGCCCAGGAAAGGATGCTGCTGTATCACCAGGGAAACAGGCAGCTCAACTTCTGGAACGGAAAGCTAAAAGTAAGTGTTGACTGTAAAAGAGTTACTTTAGGTCATGTTTTGAAGGAAAGGCAGAAGATGACAATTTTCACGTTGTAACTCTGGCTCCTTTTTGTAACTTCTTTGCTCCTTTTTATGGCTTGTTGGTAAACAGAGTTTACTATGTGGAAAACACTGCTGAGAATCTGGGAAATGGCAGTGTGATTGTGCTGGCCAAATATATTTAACTAGAAGGATTATGGGACTGTTAAGAGAACCTGTTTGTTGTTTTGTGTTTTTTTTTTCCCCTGAGGCAAAGCAAGACTGTATCAGTTCTCTCTTCCTTTTACTCTAGCCAAATCTAAGGTGTGCCTGAAGCCTTTGGATGGGAAAGCCACCTCCCCGACAAAGCAGACACTGAAACGTAAGGCAGCTGAGAGTCATCCCTCTGCTGTGGCGGCTGTGAAACCACTGAGTACCACTGGTGGTGATATGAAGGAGCCTTCAGCTAAAAAAGCGGCTGTGGTAAGGACGGTGGCTGAGGCAGTAGTGGGTCCCTAGTAAAATTTACACCCAAGTTTTACCCTCCTCTTGGAGAGAAGATGGAAAACCGAAATGTTCTACAGGTCTCTGTTCCCTTCTAAATCCAGAAGCGGTCTGCAGGATGGTTGTAGTACCTTTCTGCTTTTCATTAGATGGATGGCAGCGTTTACGTAATGCTCTGCTATGATTCCTCTGTGGTGTGAAGGATTTTGTCCATTAATGTTGTGTTCTTAAAAAAGACACAAGGTCATTAGTAAACTTCAAGTGAATACTAGCTTTTCTTCAGGAGTGCCCTGGTTCTGTATTTTGGTTAAGGCTCAGCAATGTCGGAGGAGAAGCAGTGGAGGAAGAATCCACTAAGAAGTCTTTTACCTGTGTATCATAAAAACTGTCTTGCTTCTTCCTAGGCCGTTGTTCCTGCTTTGCCAGACGACAGCCTGGTCTCCACACCTGGGAGAGAAAAACGCAAAGCCAGGTAACGGCCACAAGTTGTTCCTTTTCTTGATCAGTGTGTCTTTCATGTGAAATGTAAGGGGTTTTTTTCACATGTGGAAAAATTCGAGTTTTGTGATAATTAATGCCAAAATCCAACAAAGGACCAATTCATCTGAAATGATTTTGTAGCAGCTAGCAGGAATGCTTATTTAGATTCTTTTCTTAAAATGCTGCAAGTTGGTCCAGCTTTTCAGTGACGACTTGGGTTTTCTGAATGCCTGCAGAGGTTGACTTCTTAACCTTTTTACAGTCAAATTAGTAAAGGCGGCAAAGTGTCTCTGGCTGCAAAAATTGAACCTTCTTTGCCAGACCCCCAGATGCTCTGTCTTCCCGGATAAATCCCCAAACTGAAAAATGTACCTGCTAATACATTGGACTCTAAAAGCAGCCCCAGGTTAATTGAGTAACAATCCCTGTGTAAGGTTGAGCTGTAGGAGGGATTAACTACAGTTTTAAGAGCTGGCTTGCAGAAAACATCTCTCTGGTTAAGGGATGTCGTACGCTGATTTGCTCTCTCTCTTGTTCTTCCAAGTCCTGAACTGCATATTGGAAGCCAGGCAGATTCTGTGGCACAGTCAGAGGTCTCAAGCTCAACTTCAACTTCGTCACAAGTAGCGGTAAAGACGCGCCGGTTGAGCTCCACAGGGGCTGGGAAAGCACCCTTATCTGTAGAAGATGACTTTGAGAAGCTTATTTGGGAAATCTCAGGAGGCAAACTGGAAGCAGAAATTGACCTGGACCCAGGGAAGGATGAGGATGACCTCCTCCTGGAACTTTCTGAAATGATTGACAGCTGAACTGCATAGTCTCAAGGTTTAAAAAAAAAAAAAAAAAAAAAATTTAAAACTCTATATTTTATTGGATACCCGGAGGTGATCCTTTTTCTAGCTGAGGCTTTGCAATGAGTCTTAAAGCACAGTTGAACTGGTAGAAATTGGCAGCATCTGCACTCAGTTGTCCTAAATTTCCCTGCTGGTCAGAGTCAAGGTCCTGTGCGTCCATTCTGTAACTGTCCGTGGCTACCTTCGGCGTTAAGAGGACGAAGCACTTGTTTATTTCGGGACAGAGAGATGCCCATCTACAAACTGTGGTGGTTGTGAACTGATCTACTGATTCAGCGATGCTCTGAAGGCTTAAACTTAAAGCTTCTTCCTTCCTCCCCCCCTTGGCAAAACTCAACGTTCGGCGCGTTTCAAAGCTTTGGTATTCTGATTTTGTGGACAGTTGATATCTAAAGCCTGGAGTTACTATGTCAACTCTTGAGTTTTATTTATGTATGCTATCGTTTTGACTTTAAGGGTAACAATGAAAATGTCGGGGTGGGAGGGAGCAGAACAATTACTCTAGGGTTTTGGACCAAACGTGCTGCCAAGGGTGGTGGTTGGGGTCAGTCCATCCAGCCTTACTTTGAATTATCAGGGATGATACAGTGTCAGTGTGAAAAGCAGCAGCTCTGCAGTACAGCTAGAATACCCCGCTCCCGTTTTGTTGTGCTGTACCAAAGCTTGGGGGGGGTTGGTGCTTTTTGCTGATGTGAATAGGATTCTGGGGGTGGGTAGTCAAGATTCCTCTCGTCGTCTGCGGTAAATTGGTAAACTAAGAATGGGTCTAAGTGCCTCTTGGTTCCAGGAATCGCTCCCCCGAGCTGCTGGCTCGTCTTCTGCCGGGAAGCGGTGGCTGCTCGGACTCGCGTTCAAACACTGTCGGCTCTGTCTGACCTCCCGCCGGCCGTGCGGCACCCTCGGCGGCACCGACCCAAGGGAGAGCGTGGGCCCGGCGATCCTGGAACTTGGTACTGCTGCAGGACCAACCGTGCTCTCCTTTTCGGACACGCCCCGGGGATTCCTCCCTCTGGTCTCCCCTGTCCCACCGCTGGGGCTCGAGCTCCGTGTAGAAGCACGCGCTGGAGGCAGGACTGGAGGTCACTGGTCTGCCTCGGGTCTCTACGTGCAGTCTGAATTTGTGACCCCGCGGAAAATAGCCGAGACTGGGGTGTATTGTGTACCCTGCCACCAGTGATCGTTTTCCCTAGCAGATATATTTTGAATTATTTTGGTAAATTTTTGAAGAACTTCAGTCTCTTCCTACTATGATTTGTGAAGCTGTAGGGGCCCTCGGGCATTTGCTGCTGGCAGAGGAAAAAAAAAAAACAACCCGAGTCGTTTGAGTTGATTGTAAATACTTTCTCTTTGGAAGGAAACACTTGTGTGCTTTGATAATCCACTGTGATGTCTTAGTTCCTAGAGGAAAGGTTCGAAACCAAAACTAGAAAACTGCTGTTCCGGCTGCCCACCCTTTATCCTGCTGAAGGACTTTCTGACGGTGAGACTGCTGCCAGTGTCGGGCCCCCGCGCGCGGGCGGGGGGCGGC